TCCAACGCCGGTGTTTTAACTATTATAAACTGCGTACGTTCGAGGATTACGGATCTATAAACGTGCCTCAAAAAGAGTACGGATTGAAGCTCATTATGTACATCTGTATTGGTTTTAATAAAAGTGAAATGTTAAAAATCTGAAATTATTTCATCTTATGGCAATCTCATATTTGCCTATAATCTACACAATATTATATATTCTTGCCAATTGTTTTAACTAAGGGCCGATTTCGGAAGCAAATTCCGCCTGAGACTTCTTGCCACTGATCCGGATGGTGACCGAGCGAGGTGTCGGTGGGCCAAAGGAGCAGACGAGTGTGCCAGCGTCTGCAATATACTGCCAAACGCCACTTTGGATGAGGTTAAGTAACGATTTAATCAAACATACCCGTTTTGGCATTTTCCTTTGCCAAGCATTTTAGTTTACCTTTCATTTTTCTACAATTACATGACAAACTACCGGTATGTGGAACGTGGTCAATTCTTTTGCTTAGCAGTTTAGTATCTCAGAATTAATGTGGATACTTTTGTTCATACCGTATGCATTTTATTAAATAAGTCGCCATATCCTTTGTATTCCAATCATTAATTTTTATTTCAGTTGCACGCACATTTGCACAAGAGATCCAAAGATTACCACTGGGTTGACACTCAATATTGGGCCAGTTGAAATATTTTTGTTATATTTACTTTATTATTTATATTTATTTATTTGTATGCCTAATTATCCTCTAGAGCACCTGTACACTGGAGATTCCCAAGATCTCCAATAACAGCGGCTATGTCGTCAACGGTTGGTACGCTGTGGCCCTCACCATTGAAGATTTTCCCCTTCAGAATATCACACAAGGTGGCGTGGTGAAAAGTACCCAAGACGCGCTGAGTTCAATACCGTTGCAGGTAAAATGAACCCATTACGGTATGACTAATATCGACTATTATCCATTATTTCAAGTAAATGTGATAGGCGAACGTTAAGGTCTACTTTGTATTTTCTTGCCTGTTATTGTGAAAATAAGCCAAGCTTAATTAACTATGTACAAGTGGCCCTACCCAAAATGACCGACCACGACGGACATTAACAGCGCGGGAGGTAAAAATATCCGACTACCACCCCTTCCCCAAACCCTACCCAAGCAACAGTAATTCGTTTTCATAAACCACGTGCAGCAGGTGGAGATAAATGTGAGAAAAATAATAATAAGAATCCAAATTCTACTTCTTCTAGTTCCTCCTTACCACACCTGATTTTGGTAACAGCACGTCACCGCCAGAGGTCCTGCAGTGTGGTGCCCCGACAAATACCACGGTGGCCATTCCACCTGGTGGGACCTTCTACGGGAAGGTGTACGTCAAGGCTGGGGACACAATCTCTCCGTAAGTTAGGATCGTTACAACTGCACGTCTCGATGGTATACATTGTAACTTTATTAGATGTTTGATTATCTGATGAGTTAAGTTGTTTTGATCAAATACACTGTACCTTTCGAAAAACTCCCTACTAACGAAAGTAAATTGTCGAAGTGTTGCTTATATTTTAAAAGACGTAATATCCCTTTGTTCCTATGTAACACTAACTTGAAAGGGAAACCTAAGGTTTTGACTCTGTCTTCTTTGGCGCAATAGTCTTTATTTTACAATTTACATTTTAATAGTTAAAACTATTCGTTAATCTAGGAACTGGACAAATACTGACTCAAACATCTTGATTTTGTTCATTGAGTGTTACTGGACGTTTATTTTGTAATAATAATAATTATAATTATAATAAATATTATTATTATTTGTTTAGAGTAACGGCTGTCAACCTGGTTGCTCCAGCAGGAATGGTTAAAGGCACTCTTGCAGCAGATGATAATGGACGACCAGGAGTAAAATACATGAACGTAACATGGACGCCACAAAGCTCGCAGACGAGTGTGAATATTATCTGTTGTGAAGCTGTCGATATATCTCAGTAGGTGATGTTATTTCATACGATAGCGGACCTCCATTTGAAACAAAGCACATATCAGCCAGATATATTATTACAAAGCAAGCATCAAAACTAAGAAAATGACAACGTTTTCCATTTTAGAAAACTTGTCATTTACAGATGTAGTTCAATTTGAAAATTCCTTATTATCATACCTCGTTCCTCCTGCATAAATGAAATAAATTTTGTTTCGGTGATCGGAAATCAATACGTACTAATGTGTAGGGACCATGTGTTTCAGACGCCCCAGTGAGTCAGTGTGCATAAAGCTGCAAGCAAACGGTAAGAAAATGCTTAGATATTGTAAGCAAATAGCCTTACAGATTATCCTTATTATTATAAATATATAACATCTTGATTGGCTTTATTATCATTTTTTCTTACTTGAAGAGTAGTGTTTTTTCTCTTTGAAGTCACGCACAAATGTTTTGTGTGTGGATTACATGTACCACATTGTAACGAGAAACTTTTGAATAAATTTGATTCATGATTGCCGTGAAACTTTGCTTGTAGACGCTGATGAATGTTCTAGCAGTCCGTGTAAAAATGGCGGCAGTTGTAACAATCTTTACAACAAGTACATCTGTGCCTGTCCTCCAGGATACAAAGGAACCAACTGTCAGACGGGTACAACAAATTAACCAGTTCTTATCATCTTCTCTGTTAGGTCTATTACCATTTTGTTTCTTTCAATACTGAATTAGTAATAACTTCTATTTTGGAAGTTTAAATCCCTTTTAATGAGTAGCCTGTGGACGTTTTTGATATATTTTACAGCATTCAGTGATTTTAAATTTACTTTTGTGATTTTAGCAATATATACCTCTACGACAGCGTCGCCAACAGTACCAACTACCACAACAATTTCAACGACAATGACAACAACACCAGCAACAACTATAACCAAAACAACAACAGTTACTACAAAAACTTTAACAACACCATCAACTTTAGCCAAAGCAACAACAACAACTACTACCACTTCAGCATCGCCATCAACGACTTTAACCAGAACAACTACAATAACAACTACGAAGGCCACAACATCGCCATCAACAACAAAAAATACGCTTACAACAACGGCCACAAAGAGGACGTCGAGTCATACAACAACAGGGGCGACGACACGCGCAAAGACAACGCCGAGGAGTGTCCGTACAACACTTAGTACCTCTACCGCATTTACTAGCTCCAGAAACACCGTGAGAATTCCTGTCACAACGGTAGATTCAATCTCTACAGGAGTGCGGGAGAGACCGTTTACAATAGTTTATCAGTACGTTTCCCGAAGTTTTCCCTTTGGAATGCTGGGATTACTTGGTCTACTAGGTCTGTGCCCAGTGCCGCCGCTTATGTATGTTCTAAGAAAGAAACAAAAGAAAAAGAAGTAAGTATGACGTGTTTTCTTGCTGCTTGTGTTGTTTTTATTATTATCATTATACTGTATGTACAGTAGTTATAACAGATCTAAGAAGAGGTAAAAATGTTCATGGTAATAATTATTTTTTGTTTACAATTTACCTTTTACTGAACTGTTACTTTAAGATCTGCCCGAGTACATGTAGAAAAAAATATATTTAACTTTTGATTCATTGCAAGAAAATTGTGATTTAATATAACTAATTTGATATCTTATTTTAGCCGCGTTCTACCAGTCAAACCCAAACCCAAGCCAAATAAAGCCGAAGAAGCACTCAAAGTTCGGGCTCATAATAACCTGTATTCTTGGTAAAAAGGAACTTGAACAAGTGGCAAAATAACTTAATGAAGCTGTTATGCGACATTTACAATATTTGATTCTTACAATTGTGAACTTGTTACTCATGTTCAAACATGAAAGGGAAAGAACGCGCAAGTGTTTCCGTTTTTGATTCCAACCGCCTTTTAACCAGATGAGTAAAAAAATTATTTTGATATTTTATTTTGATATATACGTTAGATACTTTGCAAATGTAATCTCAAAGATACGAATTTCGAAAATCCTAAATTTGAGCAACAGTAGTTCCCTCTTTATCATGGGATGAAAAAGTCGGTAGAAATCTATATACATTAATTTTTATTTCGTAAAAAAAGGAAATGACAAAATTTTCTGCCTTATCGCATTGAGAAGATATGATAGACGATATGATATTGTTTATTAAAGAATCAAAGTAATCATAACTGAAAGATACAAGGAAAATTAATAACATGACACACAACAAAGTGAAAATAATCTAAATGGTGTTTTCAGTTTTTTTTTTTTTTTTTTTTTACTTGAACGATTAATAAAGCCACTTACTGCTGTCACAAAAATGTAGAGTAAATCATGGCCGTAGTTTTTGTTTCCAAGTTACCAGCATGTAGGAATTTTCGTCAGTCACGAAAATACGTGTATAAATGTATTACATGGAACGCGTGGTATTTTTTTTTTTTTTTTGTTCTATTTTTTGTTTTTTTGGCTCGATTAAAAAAGATAAAACATTGTGATAAAACATTGAGGGAATTTAAACTATAATGTAAAACAACAGATCGTCATATTCACCACAATTGGACTGAAGATGAATAAAAAAGTAATAAAGTGAAATTATAACAGTTAAATACATTTATTGTACATTTTACAATGTATACAAAATGTCTGTATGTAAAATGTATATATAAAAATATGTTAAAATGTGCTTAAATGAAGCAAGTTAAAATCTAGTGTACTTAAAGAACTAAACTCTTTTTTATAAAAAGATTTAAAATGCGGTGCTCATTGTTATTTTAAAGGCTGCATGTTTACCACGGGGCACTGGTCATTGAAAAGTGCTTGAGTAATATGGTATGAAAGTATTCTTACATCGCGAAGTCCAATCCAGTGTCGACCTGAGGATTTTCTTTTTATGAGATAGTATTTCAGGCGATCAGATAATTAAGGGAGAGCGATTTTACTGTGTCTCAGAATATTTTGAGTCCTCGGTTTAATTACTAAAGCCTTTGAAGGCGCGTTTGGGCTGATTTTAAGTGTCCCATCGTCTCCGTCACTTCATGGAGGAAGTTTTACATTATACATCGCCTATTTTTGTTGCCGTCACGACAAAAGAACCCCTGTAGTTTGAGACCGTACGTATAAAATCTTCGTCTTCTTTCCTTTGGGAATCAAACTGATACCACGTGATGTCTTCAAATCCAGATTTCTCCAAGGATCTCGTTACAAGCTTCTGACTCATAGGTAGAGCGAAGAATTTATACTCGCCGACAGCATAATAGCTTTCACCCAAAACGCCAACCATAACTAGAAAGCCACCGGCTTTAAGGAGAGAGGCTACATTTTTTATAGCTTGCTCGTAAGCCTCTTCAGTGGGGCAGGCGGCCTCCAAACACAGGCAACTTGTGATGGCGTCGAATGGGTCACATTTGTGAAGAAGGGGGTTGGTTTGTGCCACGTCGCAGAAATATACACCCTGTATTTTCTCTCGGATGTTGTCTTGGTCATGTTTCCATTTCTGTCTACAAAGAAAACATTAATTTAACGCAGTGGCTGAGAGAGACACGTCCACGTATGTAACATAAATAATTTAAAGCCACATATCACGTTTCAATTAGTATGGCTTATCCACACAATATAAAACAATACAGCAAATATGCTTATATTCTGCACTAGGAAAATCTTGTAATAGGCAATAAGATGTCATTTTTACTTCAATTTCATTGATAAATATTTTAAATAATTTTATATTCTATAAAGAACACAAACACTGATCGGGAAGCAAAACCACAGTGGAATAGAAAAAAGAAAACATAAATCATGCATACTCATTTCCTTCCATATTCGCCACGTATCTAAAGAACACTTCCCAGTCCCAGGCCCCCTCTTCCTTCTTCCACCATTTCGTAAGCTCTCTTCGGTTAGGTTCGGCAAAGTCCGTGAGTGTGATTTCGACAAACCACTTCGAGGCACTGATGACACTGTGAATACATGGCCCAGTGCCAATATCTAGCAGACGTCTTCCTCTGATTTTACCTGAAAGGGAGCGTATACAATAATAATTATCGTTTGTGAAAATCCATTTCATGGCGAAATATCCGATATGCTAAGCAATTATGTAGTTTCAAAAACTATTTAGGCAGACAAAGTCACATGGCACTTGGGTGATTTAATGATTCTTTTTCCACCGTTAGTACAACATACCAGTACTTTGTACATGTACGACGTAGCAACCATGTAAATATTAAGAAGCTGGCCTCATTCAGCCTTAGCTTATCGTACCAGCAGGATCGTTCATCTCAGCGCGGTTTCTCGCTAAAGGGGCAATGAATCACCCCATAGCTAAATAGTCCATAGTGGGCGTGTCAGACAATTAAGCTGATTACACTGACTGTACTTTAGTTACAATCCCCAGAGCGATGGATCGATCCTGCTGGTACAATATCTTGAGTCTGAATGCTCCCTCAACCTTCCACCACTGAGTACGATGCACTCTTTTTACCTGAGTTGAATATCTTATGCAGAGTATTCAATCTGAATGGCAAAAGGCCGGGTTCAGTACTTCCCTCAATACCATTATAGTATTGTCTCATGTACGTCTCCGGGTGAAACTTCGTCTCGTAGTCCCTCTCACCGCTGTTATTTTTTTCCTTTTCAGTTTTGCAAGCCATTTTGTTTTTCTTTTGTGATAAAGCTAAAATATATTAAACTTGACTATCTGAGGTTGCTTATAAACACATACACTGAACTCTCTGACTTAACAGCATAAGAATCCATTTACCTTATACCGAGTACCAATTTTTGATATGAATTAAGAGGCCTGCATATCCATAATTATCTGAGACGTCCAATTTAGTAATATTACAGTACACTGTTTAAGCGGTTACTATACAGACTTGAACCCATTATAAGAAAAAAATGTTTTAAGGCCTAGCTTTGTGCTAAAATATCCCCTGTATTCATTACACGTGCTGCTAACATAAATCCAAAGGCGGGTCCATTAATAAAGGAAATGTGAAGGTTGAGAAGACACTGTCACACAAAAGAATTGCACTGAATAGAGGGTGACCCAAAAACCCAGAACCCATATTTTTAATCCTACTAAGGTCCATCAAATTTCAAGAAATTTGTTGGGTTTTAACCTCAATATATGCATGATCACTCCCCAAAGTTTCAGTTATCTTGATGTTAAAAAATTAATATTGTTTTTTTTTTTTTTTTTTTTTTTTTTTAGGAGAGGGGGGTCACCCTGTAGGTTTAAGGTCACAGAGAGAAACAACTAGACAGACAAACGGGTGTATAGCCCAGACCATACTGTGTTGAAATTAAGCTACACCTGTACAAAAGTCATTTGCTTTTACAAAATTTGATACGTCTGCGTTTTGCTTGTTTCTTTATTTGGTCGAGAACTTTCTATTCATGACTTATCTTTGATATAATTAATTGTTTGTTTGTTTTTCTAATTATTCAATTTTATTTATCGAGTTACATGTCTAAAACCTACCTATGGGGTACCTGTACATGTACAACGACATTAGTCTCAGTAAAGTCCCTCTCTTATAAAGTGGAAAAACAAAGAAATGTACCTTTATTACACTGAAATATTTTTCACCAGTTATACACCACTATACCAGTTTTATACCGTATACCAGTTATATTAAATTCAAACCAGATTTCCTCGTTCACTTTCAGTGAAGTCTGCCTGGGTGCTGGGGCCTGGGTTGTAATGAAGACAGCCTAGGGATCTATCTCTAGCTTCCAGAGGCTGTTTGTCCGCTTTTGGCAGGTTGATGTACGGTACTGATATTAGAAAAAAAAAACTGGGAGTCACCTGAGCTAATAATTTCTTCTGCATAATACCTGACCATGTTAAAGATGTATGCAGGTTAATGCATTGGGATAATAAATGTTTTTGCCCATGTTCCGATCAGACTGTAAACGATTGGAGTATTATAACGGGACACATACAGAAAATAATACCTGCTATACCTTTTCGGACCAAGAAGAGTATACAGTGTACATGGTTGGGTCTATGCCTGACAAACAACAAACAACTTACCGAAATGTCACGCCCTTGTGCGCTTTTATTCAACAAAAAGAGCCTTCTTTACAAAAGAGCAGACGTCCATTAAATTCCGGTTGAGTTAAAGTTAGATTTTTAGGTAAAAGTTACTGTGGACTAAAATGACTAAAATGCCAATTTCCAGTAATTAGCTGTCTTTTTTATGCATTTTTAAATTTGATCACTTCAGGGGTTAATATTCCCAGGTTGTTACAAACTTACCGCCATTGGCAGGAAAGGAGAATCAAACGAAATTTTGTTTATGAGTAACGTGCTTATGTTGGGCACCTTCAATATTATTACATGTATAATCTAATATGTTAGCATTTAACTTGGCAGTTAACTGAAATATTTGTACGACCAGCATTAAATGAAATGGGCACGTTGATGCTATTTTGATTCAACGAAAAAATAAGCTTAACAGTGACTATTTTGATATCTTATTTCAGCCGCGTTCTTCCACTTGTCAAACCCAAAGTCAAGCCAGAAAAAGCCAACGAAGTTCGGACACTAGTAAGTAATATTCCTGGTGATAAGGAATTTGGACAAGTAGCAAGCTATCCTGTCAAAGTTGTTATGTGCCAATTACAATATACTTTTCTTGCAGTCGTTAACTCATAAACTTAGACGTAATGTTGAAACAAAGCTAAAATATTTTCGTTGTCGATGCCAATTAACTTTAAACAAGATCTGAGCTTGGAGGAATCCGTGATTTTGATAATGAAACAATGAAATAATGCATATATTTTTATAAGTATAATGAGCAATTATTACCTCAGATGAATTCAAAAATAATTTTACATCATTTTTGATTTTTTAAGCTTCAGATTGGAAAGGGACGATAGACCTATCAAGCAACGATATGGATGTCCACAGTATTTTACCCCTTTATAATGAGATGGGAAAGTCGCTAGATACATTTTATCGAGGAAAAAGCAAATTGACAAAAAACATGTAGAATGAACAATCTGTTCTCGAGTAATAAACTGTGATTTTGGGATCCTACCTCTCAGTCCTGATTCAAGGCACAAGCCAGGATTTATATCGAGATACATGTATTACGTGACGTGCCTACTATCTGCGTGCTGTTATGCTGATGTAATACAAATAATTTTGTTAGTTTTACAGATAAACAAGTTGGAAAAATATATGCACCCGGTTCAAGAAGAGACCACTTTCTGTTTCAATTTTTTGATGATATTAAAACTCTCATTCAGTGAGAACATGTGTGATTGTACATTCCAGAATCTGCCTAAAAAGCTGAAAGATACAATGAAGATTAATAAAACGACATGGAATAAAGTCTGAAATCAAACTTTACGGTTTTTCCCAAATTCTTCGCTTTCAAATCAGTAGCCTTATGCCTTGACCCGAATATCTCAGAAGATGTACACTGAAATGGCAGATAACTTACCACAGAACTTCAGTTTGAGTTTATTCAAGTTATCGGCATGTAGGGAAATTGTCAGTTATAAATTTATCACTATCTGGGACGTGTTTTACATTTTTTTATTGGCTCGATTTCAAGGTATCCTGACTATTAATTTCTCAACCAAGAAGAGGTAAGAGACGGTTTGTTCTACAAAACATACTCAACTTGTCTAGGAATATGTGACCGTTGTATGGATTTAACGAGCCTGTGTGTAAAGTATTGAGAAATCAAGCAACCACGTGTGCGAAGGTCACATGTAATTCAAGCATTGAATATATTATTTCTAAATAATGCTCTAAGCTCGCGTATTTGACTACGTACATTTTGAATTTCGGCACATCGACGTGTTTTTCTCATGCTTATACGTGTTTTTACATTTGTGATAACCGTAAAATGTATTCTTTGTAACTTAAATTTGAGTGGTTTTATTCAAGCGGACCATCCCACGATGAGGTACAAAGAATTGGGATTGGCAGCTATCTGTGTGTTCGTGTTGGAATCTGTACGGGGTAGGTATGGAGTATTTTACTACTTTTTGATTAAGCCAACTTGACTGACATTTCTATTATTGTTTTTACTATAAATGCTAGTACTACTACTACCACTACTGCTTTTATTTATATTATTATTATGATAGATTTGTATATAAATGCGTGTGCAAGTAAAAATCCATATATAAGTCCGTAGAGACTATATTTTGCTGATGGTGCGGTAAGCTAACATCAAGTACATGTATATACTTCATTTACGTAAAAAAAACTAACTTATGGACATTCTTTATTTTCCAGGAAGCCATTTTTGTGGATCAACAATAAGTTGGAAGCCGTCCCTTACTGAATACAACAAGGTAAGACACACCCCAAAAGGCGGACGTGAATTATTAACATTGAAATTGTTCTTCAACTTTTAACTCAAATTAGTAACAGTCCTTAAAAAGTTTTTCGTTAAGATTGCTTTCTGCAGCATGCTTGTTATATAAAACGGTATGTATCAGATTTTGTATACTTCCATTCTTGTCGTCCGTTTTATTTTGACTTGTAAAGAGATTTTCATATTACACACAATACTATATACACATGGTGGTTGCTCTACAAAGTGGATTGTATCATAGTACAGCACCAGTAGGAAACAGTTTAAACGGAGACTACGATTGCCAGAGGTTATCGTAAAGATGTGTAAATATTGATTTTATCCTCTCGTCCTCAATGTTGGCGTGGGAGTTATGCTCAAGAGCATCAACATGATAAAACCTAAATGCATTTGAAACTAAATATTTCAACACATCGCTATTTCAGCTACAATTAGATTGCACATTAATTAAATAAGGAAATAATTAATACCAATGCTAAAAATGAAAATGATGACAAATTATGTAATATACATATAATATATTCATTGTATATATTAAAAAAGTGTTAAAATAAACTCAGATATAATATATCAAACATTTAAAATGAACATATAAAAAAACTTAAAACGCGGTGTTCACTGGACTTGAGAAGATCCATTTGTCTATAGCTAATAATATTTGTCTGGTGTTACCAGCCAATATTTCGTCTACTTGCAATCAGACTTCATCAGGGAATGAGGTTGTGATAGATGTGGCAACCAACACCCCCTCTGGTGTGCTATTTGGTCTTCGCAAATCTATTACAATAACATATATAGCTAATGAAACTTCTACAAGGTGTTCATTCTAGTTTTAAAAGCTACAGGTTCATGAATAGGAACTTTTTTTTTTCGAATGAGTGTAAGCAGTATGGCATAGAAGTGTTCTTATATTGTTTGATCCACCATCCAGACACAACATAACTATGATGATAACTAGTGTACTGACAAGGGTATTTGCTAAAAAAAAACATTCAATCTAAACAATTGACTGACAGTTAACTTTCTTTACGCAACTCTGAAAGATTCCAGAATAAGCAATTTCGTCATTGTACTGGAATTTGTCACTGCAGGGGGATATTTTCTGTGGATGGTGGACGTTCCCAAGGGCAAGCGTATTTCAGTGTCGGCCAGAAGACGGGTAATGTCGTCTTTCTTCTTCCCCTCATGAGTAACATTACAGCAAGCGACCACATAACGTTGAGATTCCGTTATCAGGCCTACCTAACTACCAGACTCGGCACATAAGGATCCTGAATCAACCGGTATATCTGACCACACTACCCGTTGTTCTGGCAATTGTATACACTATAGAGAACTTTGCATAGAGCAGAGCAAGAAGTTATAATGAGAAGGAGTAGAAACAAGGGGTTTCCTTTCATCCTATCCTCGTAACGTGCTTAATCCTAACAATTACCCAGCTTGTGGTCTTAGGGAGAGCTTGTGCCTAATACATATTCAAAAGACCATTCACGTGGGTTGCTTCAGCCAATTGGGATAAAGCCTCGCGAAGTCTCTAATAATCTCACAGAGAAAACATGGTGGGATTACAGAAAGGTGTAGAGAGAGATTTCAAGCCTGGACGCAACCATTTCGGGAAATAAAACTCAAATTATGCGAGATACACCTTCATTTGATCTAGAGCCGATCAGTTATACAAAATTTAGTTTCACATCAAGAATGTATGAGAACAATTTCACAAACCCACCTTCAACGCTAAAATTTGCACCTGTAGAAGTCTCATATTTATTTTAAATTATTTTTGTCATGTAAAGGCGTGTAAAGGAAATTTACCTTCATCTAGGAATGACACATTCAATTCACAGCCGTGTACACAAAACAGTAGTATTAATATTGCTAATATATGTAGCACCGTTTCGTGCAGGATCAATTCCTGCAATGTATTATGGATAGTGACTAAAGAATAAGTTACTTTAGTTAAAGTGAAGGAAATTGATAATTAAGATGTGTCTTATGGTCTAGCTTTTTACGAAATTCACTTGTAATCAATACACAACTAAGAAAAATAAAAAAAGATCAAAACCTTATGAAAGTTGAACAGGCCAATAAACATATGCACAATGATGTGTCATTTAACCAAAAACACCTTTTATGAAGGTATGAAAATACACTCAAAAATTAGATTCACCCACCTTTTCTTTTGTAAAGCTCTTTATGTATATGTGTCACGAGCATTAATTAAATGAGCTTAAATTCAGGAGACTCGACCACCTATAGGCCAAAGGTCCCTGACCGAAAGCATTTTTTTTTGTTTTCTTTTAAGCATGTGATGGCGGAGTCGTAACACATGTATACATTAGAACTGAATGGGAAAATTGTTACAGAGAAAATGCAAGTGTTATCCAAACTACTTTGCCAAAATTAATCTGCATACGCGTATGCCATTTATTTTTATTAATTATATATTATATATTTATCAATTTTTATTTATTTAGTTAGTTAGTTAGTTAGTAAGTTAGTTAGTTAGTTATAATGCAAAGAACCGTTCCTTACATTGTCATATTTCTCACTAAAACCCCGTGTTACATCTTTCTTAATTTTTAAATTCCAACCCTGTCTTAAGCTTCCTCATTTCGTGTCCAGGTTAACTTTCAGTGGCAGTCTGCCTGGACGCTGGGGCATGGCCCTTGTGGTACAGGGTGCAGTGAAACAAACATTGGTCAACTGGGGAGCTCTGACAATGGCGAATGGGAATGTTTGTCTGGCTGTGGGTCCACTCAGAATTTAGCTGCCCATCAATACGTTGTCACTGACATTAGTGTAGATGAAGACTGGGAACAAGGAGCTAATAGTTTCTCATACACATTTCCTGACCAGGGAGAGTACATGGTGGGGTACGTAGCTTGCAGAGAGAAAATCCTTAATAGAAAGTTTAGGGGAGGAGAAAGCAGGTAGCGTGGGTTGATTTTATTCTAACCAGCTAGTTGTTGGTTAGTCTTTGTCTACAAGTCTGGGTAACAATTAAAGGGATAATAGCTCTTCGTATGAGATCTATATTTCACAATAAAAACAACTCATAGAGATATAATATATTCTGTTTTACCACAAAAACGGCAGTTATAGCTATTATTCTGATATCTGAGCTTGTCTTCAGACCACGTGACCTCCATAGACGGCTATACTCTGTAATAATCTCTTAAGAGATTATAACAAAAAACAAACTTTTTAGAAAAAAAAAACAGGGACTAACTTTAAATGTAGAAATGGATTCATTAACCATTGGTAAGGATGGGAAAATTGTTGTTTACTCCTGGAAAATTCATTTTATGTCCAAAACTAACAGGTATCATCCCTTTAATAGTCCAACAGAAAAACACTTATTCTTTTTAATGATTTGTGAATTGATATTTCAAAATCTCAAAAATCCCCTTTACTGCTAGGATGAAGTTATTTTATTTTATTCAGATTCACTGGTAACGCATGGCGTAGATTAGACTATGGTAGTGGCGGGAGGTGGCGACTACAAACTTTACTCAGCCTCGGCAACAGAAGTGACACCGTTCATCCAAACAACAGCCCTGTAACTGCTAGTAAAGGTATTTATAGGTAAGTAGAAAAGCTAGGTCAGTTGAAGCAAAAAGTCAATCAATATTTCTGCATTCTATGAAATCTATGTGCTGTTGGGGTAAGTGTTTATTTAAAGGTGTTGTTATTTACATAAGTTAATTATTACACGACAGAACAAAAACTAAGTCAATATATTGTATTCTTTTCGGTGTTTCAACCACAGTGTTTACAGCTTATACAATCCTTGGGGTAAATTCTAAATATTCTATAAATTAAATAAGGTATGAAATATAAATTCAAAGTCGCCTGGTTAATTTTTTTATATTTAAAAAATATTCGTAGCATCAAAATATACTCAGTGGCGGATTTAGGGAGTTTCAGGGGGGTCCTGACCACCCCCACCCCCCTTCGATTTCTGAAAAAATTACACTAATGGTCCCCTCTTGAAATTAGAATTTTGACTAGCTGAATTACAGTTCTAATCCGTACCAAACGGCAAGGTTTGCCCTATAAAATACCAAAATTGTCTGTTCCTTTTAGCGGGCCCCTTACCCTACGCCAGGGGGGGTCAGCTTCGCAACTGCGCCCCCCCCCCCCCTTCAAATAATCCTGGATCCGCCCCTGTATATCCCCGCGCCTGTATATCACTTCACCACTTTCAGGGCCATTTTCGGCTGCGAATTCCAGCTCCAGATTCCTGTTCAAGATCCAGACGGAGACGAAGTACGCTGCCGCTGGGCGAACGGTACAGACGAGTGCGCCAGTGTATGTCACTCGTTACCGAACGCCACTTTAGATGAGGTACGTCTATCGCGTTATAATTGCACAATAAATCATCTAATACGGAATAGTGTCACAGTGTTAAGCCGTGTTCACAACAGCACTCATTTACTCACTTAAAAGTTAAAAGTTAAAACTTGATAATAAACCACCACGATTTCAGTGACGTGAACTTTTCTTTCCCTGTCTACATTTTTCGGTTATGAATGTGCTTAGGATACGTGGCAATTGCCTGATCATCACAGGGCCGTAGCCTGAGCAAAATGCCAGGGGGGCAGTAAGCGGACATGAGGGGGCGAAGCCCCCGAGGGGGGAGGGTGTGGGAGGGGGTTTCCCCCTCCCAAGGTGTGGAAAATTTTAAAAAACTGAATGTATAATACTGCATTCTGGTGCATTTTAACTGGGGGATAGCTCCCTAAGGGAGGGTGAGCTTTTTGGCATGAACTGAGTTGGCTAAAAACAGTAGGCCTACACCTTTGAAAACAGATTGTTGAATGATTGTCTAGTGGCCATGAGTGCATTTTCTCACAGAACTGACACCAACTTTGGAATTATTATTTTTTTTTTACCTTTGCGATTATTTTTTTGCACCTCAAATCCCAGGGGGGGGCAGCTGCCCCCCCCTGCCCCCCCGGAGGCTACGGCCCTGCATCATTTAGCAATTACACGGGTGCAGACTTGACAACTTGTTGTTTACCTAAGTTGATGATTGAAGATACCTGTTTGGAAACTTTATTTGCGACAAACTAACCTTCATTATCAAGTTATACGCTTCTTTAGAAACTACATGATTCACTCGAATCGAACCGATTTCAACGACACCTGATATAGGTATATTCTTTGTATATGATCGTTTGCTTATGTTTATTCCTTTCGTCTTCCAGGAGACATGCACCATCACAATCCCCATGGTGTCCACGGAGAACGGGTACAGAGACGGAGGTTGGTATGCTGTGGCGTTGACTGTCGAGGATTTTCCAAAGACGACAATTGAACAGGGAGGTGTCAACAAAACATCTTCAGACAGACTGAGCTCTATTCCTTTACAGGTAACGCTTGCATTGGACTGCATTTTTATCTGCCAGGCGTTTCATGTTGACCGAGATGATAAATAAAAAGGTTTTCGATTTGCTTTTGCTCAGAAATCAGTCACAAAGAACTCTTTATTGGCATGAATTGTTTTGATATGCTATAACAAAGAGACATTTATGCCTGTAAACTATCATATGCAATAGTAGCGGTGTTAATGCGGTCAAGTTT